ATCTCAGCTTTGGAATGTTATCTAACTCAGAGAAAAGCAAGATATTGATTATTGATAAGAAGAAAGCCCATACATGTTATGTCATTTTAGCAACCATTGTCTTAATGCCACAATAGTTGAAAGACTTTCTAACACAAGTCTGTTGTATGTTCCATTATAGAATAATAATACTAGTGGCAGAGTGAAAAACAATGGTTGAGGCTAGAGTCAAGGAATAGAATTTTAATTTAATTTTTGTGAATCAACTTAGAAAGTCTCTCACTTAATTTATTTTGCATATATAATTGCAGGATCATTGCTAATATATTTGATTTGCTTGAACAAAATACCTTGGAACAGCTCTGATAAATACCAAATTCTTATACTTTGTGTTCAGTGCAAAAATCAGTAAGGGAATCCAAGAACATTCCTAGAATTATTCAAACCAATATCCTTATATCTGTTGTTTTGTTGCCTATTCTTCATATATTTCTCAAGGGTTTTACAATTAGTTTGTTTTTGACAGCACATAATTGTTAACTGTCCATTTCACCAAGTCCCAACAAATAATACAAAATTGCTTATAACTCAAGTGAGGGACTTGATAGGTGACAAGGAAATAGACGACAGTGATCCTTACCATCCAAATGAAACTGAAACACAACCAAAACAATTATGGCAGCTAGGTGATTCTTGGAAGAGCCAAACCTCCCATAACAGTGAAAAACTCCTGAACTAAAAAAGAATTACTAAAGAAAGAATGATTAGATTGAATGCAAAATTAAGAGAGATCACTGAACAGTTAACAAAAGGAATGATTTAAGTGCTCAAACATATACATATAGAAAGTTTTCACACAGTCTGGAGGAAAACATTAATTGTCAAAACAAGAGAAAATCACTAGAAGTTTGTTAATACAAACTTTGTCTGTGGTCTTTAAAGAAAATTTAATAGTTAATGTTGAGTTAATGTCTCTTCAAGTTATCTTGCATGTCATTTTTTACTAGTTTCTTTTCCATAAATGTAATTAAGGTCTTTAAGCCATCATCTTTTTATAGATCATTTAGTCTCATCTCTTCCATGACTTGTTCTCCTACAATAAGCAGTGATAAAGCAATTACAATTCCCATTTTGGTTTTTGCCAATTCTATTACTTCACTCCACATTTCAATTTCTATTGTCCATCTCTTAAAAGGTTTTCTCTTGACTGTTGAAATCAGATTAACTTCATTGCCATGATGTACAAAACTCTGAATTCCAATAGTATTTTCACATACTGCTACTACTTTTAACTGCTCCTTTCTTCAGCAAATATGGCTTCTTCCCTACACATAAATCCCTACAGGGATGCTTGTATAACAAGATGGTAATATATGATAGGCTAATTACATAAATACTTAAATAGATCCTGCTATTTACCTTCAGCTCCTTGAGAAAATCCAAACAAGAATCGGCAATATTATCAATCCTGATCTTGTGGCTTGGCATTCCCACCACTGTAAGGTTGCCTCAATTTGTCTTTTCTTTAAATACTTTCATGGTAATTGTTCATATGAGCTCTTTGCTTTGGTACCTAGACTTTTTGAATTTAAGTGTGGTACTAGACTGGTGCCAAGATCTTACTAATTTACAGTTGAGCTGGCTAGATATAACCATAAATTCCATGCTAACCATTTCTTTTCTCACACTTCCCGCTTGTAGAACTCCCTTCTGGCTCCATGCTTTCCAGCCAACTTTAATCTACAAAAATTTAAATGCAATGTCAATCAGTATCTACTGTCCTCCTGATTACTCTTTCCACTCATTATTAATGTTTCTGTTCCTAATTCTTCCACACCCTGTAACCCCTTGTGTTTTAATGGCTTTACTGCCTTGCATGGGGTGAAACCGAATAAAAAGAAAAAAAACTTATGCAAATTACAACCCACTAGCTCCACCTAGTAGACATTACTTCAAACGTACAATTTTGGAGAGGATATAATCTCAACAGTAATATACATATTACTGTAATAAGACATAGTCTCTTGATAGATCAATGCCATCTCTTGCTCAAGCCTAACTCTGTTTATTTGAAATTCAGCAATTATGATTAAAGAAAATAAAAAATTGAAGGCCAATGTAGAATTTAGTCTTGTGTCAGAAAAATAAAATTTGTTTGTATAAATGAGGTAGAGGGGAGAATACCTTGTTTTCTAAAATGCTTCCAAAATTGACTTGTGCTCAATAAGATACTCTATTTGTGAAATTAAAAGATTTTCTTGGGAGTAAATTTTGATTGCAATTTTGACTGAGTCTTGCATTCCTGTCATCCAACTCTACCATTGATTTATTCCCAAAAGTCTGTAGAATTTATTCTTTGAAAATAAATTAATTTATCAATTAATGCTGAGGTCAAGAACTGAAAATGGAACATCTGAAGAGAAGTGGCATCAGCAAAAGAAGTCATCCCATTGAATGAAAGACAAGAAGAAAGAAATGGATGATGTTATATTCCATGCTAATAGGAATATATACTTGAAAAACATGGTGGATAAAATAAGTAAATGTTTATTGTAAAAACCAGTACAATAAGAAATAAGGTAACAGTTATGCGCATGATCATTGCAAATCAATTCAGTAGTGAGTGCTGCTATTGGGAGGTCGGTAGTTCTCACGTAGGTCTGAGTCATACTCAACAGATCCCAGCCAGACTCTGTGGTCTGTTGACTTACAGCTACTTATAGGTAGTTACTACCTATAGTGTAGTCCCTCATGGGGGTGACAAGTTATTCCATTACATCAGATGACAAGTGAAATTCTTGTCCTAATAAAAGAGAGCAGGTAATGCCAAAAAATGACACAGAATATATGAGATTAAATGTCAACATCAGAAATGTGCAAGCAAGCAAAAAGGGAACAGCATAATAGAAAATTTGCTGAGATTGAAGAAAGGCAGAATATGAATGGAACAGATATTTACAAATTTCTAGATACATGACATTTTTTATCACTTTAAACATTATTTTTAGTGAATACTCGTAACTTTGTTAAAATTTAAATTTATAATTATGTAACTGCCATCCCATAATGAATTTTAACTCTCCTGACCTGAATACATGCACTTGAATCAACTCTACACTCTGAAATTTTATTTACTAATTTTTTTTTTTTCAGTGGGAGTAGATAGGTTTGTTCAGTTTGCATTCCTTCCCTGTCTTTTGAGCAGGAGTAGATGTTTATCTGTTGTTTCATGTTTAGGATTGGGTTTCTAGTCCTTTATTTTTCTTTCACTCCCTGTAACTGCTAGCATCTTAGTGGCCTTATAACTTTGCTTGGAGTGAAATGATAAAAAAATATTGGGATGATCATATGCTGCCAGATGGGATAATTGATACTCTAATTTTTGACTAGCAAGAGGATGTAACCTGCAATATCAACACTAACTTTTCTCCTACCCCTTCATCTTTCCACTTCCTTCATCTGTAACATAAAGGAAAGCAAAGAATACAAAAATAGATTTAACAAAAATATGGATAAAATCGCTTAAAATTTCTTTTAAAAATTTAAAACCTGTATTAAAACAATTTTTTTAAAAAATTATTTTTAAAACTTGCTCATTTGTTTATAAAGAAAACACATTGAGATCAATTATGAAATCTGACTTTAAACACAAACTTTATAATAATCGACAATAAAAATTATTTTAAATATTTTGTTTATATGATATATTTTTCAATAAATTTTTCCCATAAAGAAATTTAATTTTAGTTGCCAGTATGATTTTTCATTCCTGCCTTAGATTCCAGTTAAAAACCATAAAAAGACTTGTGGTTCTAGCATTGATGGCAAGACTATAAAAACAAGATAATTTGTGGTCGGTGTCATAATACAAACTCTCAACCATGAGTTAGTGTGCTAATGACTTATCAAGTCTGTTGCCTCTTCATTATGCGTCATGTCTTAGATATTTTGCAGTGTTTGTTTCTCTGCTTTTTGGCATTTTTACAAATGGCTTCAAGTCAGAGACTCATTCAATCCATTTGAGTTATGGTAAATGAACCTTTTTAAAGCAGTACCACAAATGGAAAAAGTGACCAAGAAATCATTTTTTCAAGGAAATATTCTTTGTATTTTCAGACATTTCTAGAGTTCTAACAGACCCTTTAATTTGAATAGATGTATCTCAGATGTGATCAAAAACTTTGAAACAATAACCAAGAGGATTAAAAATGTTGGTTCATGAATTTGGTGGAAATAGTAATTGTGAGTTCAATCCCTGGGCCAGTTACTATAGACTCAAACTGAATGGAAACAAGGAAAGTGATAACTGAGCAGTACTAATAAGAGAACAAGATGAGATATCCATTGGCATGAACAGTGAAATGAGAAGAATCTACCCCTGTAGATTAAAAATGGTTCATCTGAAATTCTGTGATAGAGGTTACCTGGATCAACAAACACCTGATGAAGGTCAGAGGCCACAACCATTTATATATTGTATTAATAAAAATAAAGATTCAGACATTAGTTCAAATGTAAATAATAACTCCTCATCAAAGAAATTCAGAAAAAAACCTACATAATTTGGTTCAAAGGAAAATGGAAAGAGAAGCTTAAGATTAAAGGCCTGAGCTTTTGTTCCAAATGATAAGGTCATTTGATCCATTACTACAAATGAAATTAAGGGAAACTTAATCCTAAAGACAAAAGTCCAGCCAAACTTTTAACCAACTTATTCTTATAAAATTTAAGATACACATCAGTACAAATTGATTGGTTTGTTTTTTACATCTTATCAAACTTTTGCAAGTTATTTAAAGCCAGCCAGAAATATTTTTTAGATTGTAAGAATTTTTTGAAGTTAATAAGAATTTACTGATATATCTTACTAATTACCCATACCTGGACATAGAAAAGGTGGATTCATACCTTTTTCCAAGTGTACTTGCATGTTAGTGAATATAACAAACTCGGAATTGGAACTTGGCTTTCTAAATTCCAATTCCAAACCATTATCCATTACACCACATGCACATCCAATTTACAGCACCTGGTATTCCCAAGCTGTTACCCATCTACGTACTGACCAGGCTCAACATTGCTTAATTTCAGTGATCATATGCAGACTAGTTTTTTTAACATGATATGGCCAGAAGTTGACATTGGTCTGTTAGTGATGGTTTCTTTAAGTCATTTGCATTCTGAAGGCAACTATCTCAACTGAAAGTCTACCAAATTTCTTTTTCCTATTGACTACATTGAATGCTTTTACCAATCTTTGCCATTCTTAAAGAGTGTGTTTATTGAGTGTGTGAGAAAGAGAAAGAGAGAAACTCTATATCATTTATTGATAAGAGTTTTATCAGTTGGACTCTCAGTTAATCTCTTTTCATTTTAATCAGGAGAACCTATGCAAAATTATTAGCATCATTACTGCAACTTTTTTTTTCATTTGCAATAAGAGCTGCCAAATCTTTGAGAAGTAGAATGATGAGAGAGCATTGTATCATTGTACATTTCCTGACTTTTCTTTTACTGACTGCTTGCCAACTGTTGTCAAGGACCCCCCCCCCCAATAAGTTTCCATGCTCAAGACTTTTTCTACTATTTCTACTATCACTCTGCTGCATTTACAGCTTGTTAGCTATTCAAATGGGTTTTTTTAGCCTTTATTTGGGTTATCAAAATAGCTTGGGTTTTAGAATATTGCAAGAGAAGTTGTAAGTTTTATTTTCAGAACATAAATGGCATGGCTTCGATTTACAGTAAGTAAAAACACACATTTCTTTTTCTTTGGTCTTGTTTGGAGACATATAAGAATTGACTTAGATAAAAAAAAAAAGCAGCACACTTTATAAGTATTGGCAAAAGTCAGTATTTTCTAATGTTATTTTTTTCTAATATTACATTATTTTATGTACAATGAAATTTGAAACATTTATATTGGATAATTGGTCAGTATTCAGATGTTCTTTTTTTTTTTTTTCTTTTTTTTGTGCATGATGTAAGAAAGATTTCCCACAAAATTACCAAAATTCCTATGTTTAGTGATAATGGTAAGATTAGATGTCCCCTTATAAGGAAACATTCATCAACTGAACAGTTAGCATTACTGTCAGTTGAAATTTATAAAATCTTTCTCTTAACCCTTTGGCATTCAACATGCTCAAACCTTCCTTGTAAATATTGGCTTTTAAAGTTTCACTGTTTGCATGACATCTTGCATTATTTGTGATGATGATGTTATATATTATGGTAGAGTATACATGGGGTGGGTTATGGCAGGTTGAATATTGAAAGGCAATGTTTCTTGGATGAGTTTGGGCAAGTTGAATGTTAAAGGGTTAAAACAGTTTATCAGGAAAATATGCTTCACTGTTATTGTTCTTTTCAGTATTGATGGGGGTTTATTTCCTAACCTTTTTGCATAGGGTAGTGTAGAAAATCACTTGTTTGCAAATTTATTATTAATTTGTTTTATTTGTAATTGCTTTTATTAATTTTTATTTGAGTTTTGTTTACTTTTTTTCAAGCAAGTAATATGTAATCAGTGCATAGGGATAATGAAAGAGGCCTTTCAAAAGCTAAGCAAAGTATTAAGAAACAGGAAAGTCTCATTAGAAGCAAAGAAAAGAGTACTTATGATCCTCCTATATGGCAGTAAATTCTAGACAATCTCCTCAAAGGCAGCAGAAATGTAGTTTTACAAAAGGATACTAGGGCTCATAATGAGGAAAGAGAGCTTAGAAAATTTTTTGTACTCACAGGACAGATTAAAGGCAAGAAGCATTGTGTAAATTGTTGGCAGAGTAGGATTAAGAGAGATATTGAAGACAAAATTTATTACGAGCTACAAAGGACAGGAAATTGTGGAGAACCATGATTGCCAGTGTTCTGAAGTGACATGGCACCTAGAAGAAATTCCATTTACTCTTTTATTTAGTCATTTATTAAGTTTTATTTTAAATCTGCTTCTTGCACTTTGAATGGAATTAATCTTATCTGTGTGCACAGCACATAAGTACACATGGTGACGAGCATTTAGTCCAGCAGGCATCTGCTTTTATTGCCTCAAACCGTCAGACTTCATTACCACATGTATAATGAGATTTTTTCAATTCATCAAAGCAGTGTATGTGTTTGAATCCAAGTTTGCCATTTCATGTGCCAACCATTCTTTTGCTAGATATAACTTTGTTGTAAATTAATTTTATCTCGTATCAAAATGATCAAAAAACTTATCAGTCATATCTTACCTCCATCAATTCTCCTATAAAAGCTGCTGCATTAAAAATGCTATGGATAATGCTGAATGGAAAACAAAAATACGTAACTAAATAATGTGTAGAAAACAGAGTTGGATTAGGCCAAAAATAGAGACTTTCTACTGTAGCTGGGTATGATCTGCTCAATCCTCACTTTCCAACATTGATAGAGTTCAAAATCATTTACATGGTCTTGTGGGAGAAAACTCATTCTCCACTCAGCAGCTTCTTTTCCATGAGTATAACACTGCAAGCCTGTAATTCTTCTTTTATATGCCATGTTCCTTCAGGTTATTAGCAATCATGGCTCTTCACAATTTCCTATCATTTGTAGCTCCTAGTAAATTTTTTTTTTTTTTTCACTATCCCTGTTCTTCCAACCATATATGCAAACTTGTTAGGCAGGTTATTCACTAGTTTCCTCTGTTCCACTTGCCTTTAATCTTTCCTGCGAGTATCAAATTTTCCAATCCCTCTTTCCTCATTATGTACCCTAGAAATTTCAATTATTTCTGCTGATGCTATGTATAAGTGTTTTTTTTTTTGTTTCCATTTTCTCTAAAACTTTGTCGTTAACATTTTCAATCCATTGTATTCTCAGTATCCTTCTGTATAACCACATTTTTGTTGCCACAAGTTTCTTCTTCTGTGAGGAAATTATCTAGCCTTCACTGCTATATAAGAGGATTGATATTACATAACAGTTAAGTACAGTTTTCTTTGTTTCTATTGAAATTTTTCTGTTTCTTAATACTTTGTTTATCTTTTGGCAGGCAACTTTCACTATCCCACTGCTCCTTCGGATTTCAGTGTCACATCTTCTGTTCTCTATTAAAAATCTTCCTAGATATTTAAATTTTTTTAATTGCTTGATTTTGTTATCTCCAATTTGTAATTCACTTGTTGGGGGTCTTCTTTTTTGCTGACCCATTCTAATTTCTTAGTCCTTTCTTCTCACTTTCCTTTACTAACTTTTGTAGGAAATCCTGCAGTTTCCTTTTCGTGTTTGCTATCAGTACAGTGTCATCTGCATATCTGATATTGTTAAGATTGTGGCCACCAATAATGAATCCTGGTAGGAATTCTATGAGCCTGTCATTACTCTAACATTATTTCCACAGTAAATATTTGTTCTTTAGTTCTACCAGTTTAGCCCTTTCCTTTTCTTAGGATACATCACACTGCTTCCATGTAAAAAGGGATTTCCACTCGGAAACTTTTTTTCTCAAGAACTGCTACTTTGCAAAACAAGTTCCTGCATGGATGCTTTCTTGAATATTAAAATCTTAACCTCTTCATGTCAAGTCAATCATTATCAGATTTATCCTCATAATTCCCACTTCCTACCACTTTATCTTTCATTGATATCACACTTATGCATCATTATCATTTCAACTGTAATTCTCTAATTTGAGTGGCTCTCAAATCTTTTATTTGATGATTTTTATTAGACAAAAAAAATACTAAATTTGACTCTAAAAATTATATATATATATATATATATATATATATATATATATATATATTAGAGAGAGATAAAAAAAAAACATGTATGTATCTTAAGTGAAGCTCTTTTGTCAAATATATTTAAAATACATTTAAATTTGGAGTTTTTTCTTATGTCTTATTTTCTTTTTGATATTCAAACAAAATGGGATATGCAAATGTTCACAAGAATTATCACCAGGACCAGCTCTAAATTTTGTTTGACATTCTGTATTTCTCTTTTGTCATGGTTTTTCTTATATGTAATTATCATTTGTTGAGTGGCAAAGATATGCCAATGTTAGTTAATCATATAATAAATTTATATTTTAAAAAAGAGAATTGTATTTTTCCTCAAATAAATAGATGATATGATAGCATTGAAGTAATTTTCTAAATTTTTTCTTGAATAAGATTAAATAAAAGATTTGTATAAAACTTGGCTTTAAATAGAAAATATTTTCAGTTAAATTTCAAGTTGATCACTGATAAATGTAACTGAAATGTAATCTCATGAAAAACTGAACTCAGTTTATAAATTGTTGGGTTGACTAAAATGTTTGTTGTTCTTTGTTATTAGAAACAAAGGCATGATAAATGTTTAGTTTTAATTCATTTCATTCAAAAAGATTGATTTTATTTGTATTTGAACAACTGTCATGTCAACATGATTTTTATTTTTAAAATTTGTTAAAATTTTATAGTGAGTGGCCATGATTAAATGTAAATAAATGGCAGAACTGCCCAACAAACAGAATTGACAAAGCTTGCAATAAACACTAACAAGAAAAGAACAGGACAACATTAAAATAAAGCAAGCAAACAATATATGCAATGCAAATTAACAATAATAAACAACAGTAGTATGGCAAAAGGTTCACAAACTAAGAATTGGAGTTGACACACAAGAGCAAATTCGGATGAATAAACAGTGTTCTGACTTCAAGGCATGACAGACCAGGTCTGAGTCAGATGACACCAGCAAATGGCCTATTTCATTGGCTAGGAAGAAATCCCAACATGCATTTGTGTGCTTCTGTCTATAAATTGGGGAGGGGGGAAGTATTTTGCAATCATTCCCAATTATGATTGGAACCAACAGACTCATTTGTTGATTTTATCATTGAAGGTAGAAGAAAATATTTTCTGCACATTTTTTTTTTAAAATTGAAGAATGATAAAAATGTGACACTGATACAAAAAATAACTTGTGCAGTTTATGAAGAAGGTGCTGTGAATAACTGAACATGTCAAAAGTGGATTGGAAAATTTTTTTTTACTGGAGATTCTTTGATGAGCATTAATTAAAGATAGTATAGCACAGTTGAGGTTGTTGTCAATCCAATCAAGACATTACATTAATCAATGTCATATAGTATGGGAGGTGTTCAATAGTCTCAAAA